GGAAACAGGCTCCAGGCTCCGAGCCATCAGCCCAGAGCCTGACGCGGGGCTCGAACTCATGGACCGCGAGATCGTGACCTGGCTGAAGTCGGACGCTTAACCGACTGCGCCACCCAGGCGCCCCTTGGAAGTCAAATTCTTGAGTGATGCTGTGAAATTGAATGCAACCATAGGAAATAGGTCACAGTATGTGGAGGCATTAAACATCTTCTGGTAGAATAGACCACAGTCTTGAAGTAAAATATGGAATAAGAGAAGATATTTGAAAATAGCCCTAACCCAAAAGAAGAAGATGAATGGAGGCACAGTGGGGATAATTAAGGAGGAAAATTATCCCAGAAGACTTCCATATTCTGTATTATGCTTCTCTTGTATCTTATAATATAGATGCCTTATTGGAGGAACTGGAACGCTCCACTCTCCAGGACAGTGATGAATCCTCCAGCTCAGCTCCTCTTTCCCTGGATCAGCATTCCAGAAAGGAGACTGACCTTGCTGAGACTTCGGGTGTCCCTTCTGTTCAGAATGATACAAGTCCCTTGCTGGTAACTTTCATTTATTGGAGTACCTTGAATATAAATGTTTGAGTGCATTTCTGAAAATTAATTGTATCTTATGTAGAGTGATGTGAGAGAATCATATATCCAAGAAAAATCCCTCAATGATAACTTAAAGGTGGTTGTTTTTGGAAAGGAGGAGAATTGAGAAAATCATCATGGAAGAATAAATCTTTGAGAATTAAATTTTTTTCTAGTGAGGGCATGGTAACAGAGTCTTCCCTAATTTACTTGGAGAATTCTGATATTGCTGTCTGAGCATCAGAGATGCATGTTGCAGTATGTCTGGAATTAACACTCCAGAAGACCAGGGATTACCTGGGCAAGGCCAGGTGGGAGCTCAGACAAGTCTTTTCAGGGTGACCTCTAAGGCCACAACTTTCCACGTCTTATTTTCTGTTAAATGTATTAGGATATTCAATTATTAGTATACCTAGAGATGATGACACTCTAGGGGACCAACAGAAACAAATTAAACTCAGATGATATTTTTAAAAAAATCCAGAAATCCAATTTATCATTGTCTGGTTAGAGACAGTCTAACCATCAAATAGAATAATAGATACTAGTATTTGCTATATACATATATATGTATATATATATATTTCCTTCCTATATGTAAGTCTACATGAATCTATGTTGTACTTAGGAGGTTGCTTGATGAGAATAGAATTAGTGTAGAAGAGGAATTAAGTAGTTTTCACATGTGGTGTTTTGAACTATGATATTCTGATTCGTCCTTGTACACTTGGTATGAAATCACAGGTTGCACAGACATGAAATCTGAGCCTGTGGTTCCTTCCCCCTTTAATTGTTCCTCCCTCCAGCTATATACATACAGTTTTAAGGATGAACATTTATTTCTCTCCTAGGGAGCTACTGTCTCTTTTCCTCAATGCAAAATCATAGCCATAGGCTCCTAACTGGTCTGCTACCCTTGCCCCCAGTATTTTATTTTCAGAGTAGCAGCCAGAGTGATTCCGTAAAACTTAAATCAGATGATGTCATTCCTTTACTCGGAACCCCACAGTGAATTTCTATCTCCATTTGAAGCAAAAGCCACCATCTTTACGCTGACCTTAGTGGGGTGACTATATGCTCGGTTCACTTGGACGAGCCCTGAGTTTATGCTTGTTTTCTTGACATCCTATTATTGGCTTTGGCATTTACCCTAAGTCTCACATATCTTAGGAAGTTTTCTTATTAGTGTTTTCTTATTAGTATTTACACTAAACCAGCGTGGGTTCATAGACCTCCATTTGGTTCTTCTGGCTTCTTCTAACGCCTCATCTAGTAGCATGTGAAATACATTCAGTGAACAGAATTCGAACTGTATTATGGCTGAATCCTAAAGATGGCTAATGACAACTCATCTCTCTTTCCCTGATCCTGTTCAGACACATCCTAACTGGCAAGCTCCTTTTCAGGGATAACATGCAGGGTGCGGGCTCTTAAAGCTAAAAGCTTAGGCACCGTCAGGGACAGCTAACACCTCTGGTTGCAGGTGATGGCAGGGGAACTTTGGAAGCTTTTTCCCCAGCCGGTCACCCTGTATAGCACCACTCATGCTCATGAGAAGCATGGACCTCCTCAGGGTCAGAAAAAATATGGGAAACTGTGGCTTAATATCATACAAATTACGTGCAGGAAATAGAGGCCAAGCATTCTCACCGCTGAGTGTAGTGTATTCTAAATGTTCTCATTAAAGCAGCTTTGTCCTTAATTGTGTATGTACAGCCATAGCTATTTGTTTTATTATTTGGCAATGCTTTTATTTTTGCAGCAGATGCTTTTAGCAGCATTTGGCTCACAACAAAACCAAACCCAGAATTACATGTTTAATTTTCTCAAGGAATTGATGATGAATGTGTAATCTGCACAAAATATTTGCCAACATTTCCTGTCCACCCCCGGTGGCAAGTAGAGATGTTAGTGCCCCTTAGAAGACAGGAAGACACAGCCATAGGGAAGAAACATCAGCATCTACTTCATAAGTTGCTCATGTAAAAAGAACGTGCCTGATGGTTTAGCATGTGCAGCTGCAGGAGGCGTGTCTAACATGTCACAGTGAAGCACACCTTTACATCTGCATCAAGTGTCGCTTCTAAACTGGTTTTGTTTGGTATCAGCTTCAAGTTTTCTTGTGCTTCTAACTGAAGTAAATGTGACGATTGAGTTGACTCCCTTTGCAAACCGTCAAATAATGTCAATTTTATATCTGTGCCACCAGAGACCTCAGTTAGAAAATTTGTTAATTCCAAAATGCTTTGATTTTTTTTTCCCCTCTAATTGAAAGGATCAAAATTCAGTATTTGGAAATTCATTCTTCCCTCAAAAGCAGAACATCTGACATTGTTAATGCCATTGTAAATTTAGTTGGGAAGTTCAACATTGAAGACAAAGTGGGTTATTGTGAGTGTGTGATCATATGAATACAAATTTTGATGGAGAACAGAATTGCCGTTAAAAAAAAAAAGTTCCATATTAAAAAACCTATGCAGCAGAAATGTGCTTGAATTGGTTGTGATGTGCACAAAATTCCTGACTGCATCCAAGCTCCAGGATTCTACCAATCAAAATAGAAACTGCAAATGTCAAAATTTACAGATATATATTTCCACCATCAGAGTATATATGTATCTAACTCATCTACAAAACTTCTGTGACAGAAGCTGATGTTGAATACGGAAGCAACATTTCAGCATGGCTGCATGCATTTTCTCTCTGTATTGCCTGTCATCAATCGGATTTTAGAAATGCCTGAGCCTCTGAAAATAACATTTTGTAAAGCAACTTAAATATAGGTTGCATTATGTGGAAAATCAGTCAGAAATATTTAATCGAATTATTCAGTGAATGTAGCATGAAAATTCAGCTTTTGAAGCTTTCAGCAAGTTGCAATTATGTAAAACAAAGCTTGTAAAAAGGAAGGAGCTCAAATTTCTCTCTACAAAAGCTGGGGAGGAATTGAACAACTTAACAGATGAGAGCTCAAATGGTTTAATTACCTAATTTGAAAATTGTGCTTTGGAAAAAATCTTGTCTTTGATGGAGTTTCTAATTTTAATTGGATAAATTTATATTCTCCACCAGAATGGGATGAAATTGTGAAGGCCTATGATTTTGCAGTATCTACATTTGGCAAAATGTTGAAAAGAATCACAAAGAGACGACTTAGGAGCTCTGTCTTGTAAAAATATTATTGAAGAAAGGTGCTCTGGATGGAGGTAGAAATACAGCACCTGTGAAAATACTGGGGCAGAAATATTTATACATTTTAATATGAGAAACATTTGAGAATATCCTCCATTTAGCAGAATTTGCCCTGAACTTATAGGCTCATCAACATCCAGAGTGGGAATATTTTCTCAATTAATTCTCAATATTATGGTCTACAGAGAAGCATCAGTTAAAAGTATCAATAACTTCAAAATATATTTATATATTATATATAAAATGCATATATATAAAATGCAGCTCCTTAACTAGTTTGCAATACTAAAAGATATGAAAATAATAAGATCATATTTTATTAAAAAAATTTATTAGTTTATTTTGAGAGAGAGAGAGCAGAGGAGGAGCAGAGAGAGAGGAAGGGAGAATCTGAAGCAGGCTCCATGCTGTCAGCACAGAGCCCAATGCAGGGCTTGAACTCACAAACCTTGAGATCATGACCTCCTGAACCAAAATCAAAAGTTGGACACTTAATTGAGTCACCTGGGTGCCCTAATAAGATCATATTTTAAAAAAAGACATCTTTCAGAAAAATTTCCACATCACAGTGTTAGAGATAACAATGGCTAGGTAACCAATTAAGGTATATGAATCTATATCAAGAAAAATTATTTACTGTGCTGTTTAAAAATGTTCAAATAATATACAACTTTAACAATGTTTAGAGATACCTGGGTAAGCTCAGTCAAGGTAGTGACAGCTCTTGATTTGAAGCTCAGGAGTCACTTGATCTCCTGGGGTGTGTGAGGGTTGGGCTATCAGGCTCTCTGTGCTGACAGGGCTGAGCCTGCTTGGGATTCTCTCTCTCCCTCTCTCTCTGCCCCTCCCCCATTTGTGCTCTCTCTCAAAATAAATAAACATAAAAAAAAATAATGTTTATAGCTATGTCATCTAAAAACATTCTAGAGAATTTTATTTTTTTAAGTTTATTTATTTTGAGAGAGAGGCAGAGAAAAAGGAGAGAGAGAATACCGAGCAGGTTCCTTGCTGTGAGCGCAGAGCCTGACGCAGGGCTTGAACTCACGAACCATGAGATCAGGAGCTGAGCCAAAATCAAAAGTTGGACACTTAACTGACTGAGCCACCCAGGCACCCCTAGACAATTTTATTTCGAAAATAAGTTTTCAAGAGAATTATTTTGTAGGGGCGCCTGGGTGGCTCAGTTGGTTAAGTGTCGGACTTTGGCTCGGGTCATGACCTCACAGTTCGTGAGTTCAAGCCCCGCGTTGGGCTCTGAGATGACAGCTCGGAGCCCGGAGCCTGCTTCAGATTCTACGTCTCCCTCTCTCTCTGCCCCTCCCCCACTCACACTCCATCTCTGTCTCTCTCGAGAATAAACATTAATAAAAAAGAATTATTTTGTAGGTCCATCAATATAATAAAACCCAAGTTTTAGTCAAGAAATACATATTTTTAAAGTTATATAGTATTAATTATTTTTGGTACCTACCCCTCTTTCGCTTTTAAGAACATCCCAGTTTGAACCATTATATGGTCACCCTACTTGCTTGATCTGGCCCTTTTTACTCCCTGTCCCTGTCTTGCCAGTTCACTGTGCTGCCCTGGACGCCTTTCTGTTACATGGATGCTCCAGGGTTCCCCCCAATCTCCTTACTTCTCTCACCTTCTGTGAGTCCTCACTCAAGTGGCGCCTCCTCAGTGAGTCCTTCCCTGATCGACAGATATATTTTCCATTGCCATCTTTCTCCCATTTCTCATGCCCTCCCCCCTAATTAGTTTTACACGTTACTGAATTTATTCTATTTTCTTATTAATTTGTTCATTATCTGCTCTCACCACCATAATGTCAGAGGCAGAGGAGACAATTTTTGTTCGTTCGTTTCATTTTCTGTTTTCATTGCTGCATCCCTGGCCCCGGCACATGACAGGCACCCAATAAGTATTTGTTCAATAAATAAACGAGTTGCTGGTCAACTACCCTTTAGAGACACACATATTTTATTTTTTTGTATGTCAGAGTTAGCCATGATATAGTCTTCCCCTAGACAACATCCTGTCTAGGTAAAGGAATTGCTCTGATTCTTTTCGTCGGTTTTATGGTTCCTATCTGAGTACGATCAACTTCTCTATTTCAGTGCTTTTTAGGGCAGGGCGGGGGACGCTGTTACTTGTTCACATGCTGGCTGCTTCGAATTTGGCCTTCTGTTGTGGGATGGCTGGTTTTGCTCTGCCTTGGGAAAGAAAATCTCAGAGATACGCTAGTTATCAGTCCTATTTAGAAGCTAACAACATCCTCTAATTCTGGGCACAGATGAGTGACAACATTCTCCCAGCAGAAACTCATTGTTTGCTTTCTTCTCTGTCACTTATATGTCTTAGGTACAGCTCGTGTATACGACCCATATCCAGGAGCCCAATATCTACAGGTATGTTTTTTATTCAGTACTTTAAAATATTAAAGATATTAGATGATTGTTATCAATCTGGGTCTGGACAACAAGTTGCTTTGCATGCGTTCATTATTAGAACTCCGGCGACTTCCCTCCTCCCCTTTCCATAGTGTTTCAGCAGAGGTGGAGTTCTGCCAAGCTCACTTGGCAGTTTCTTAGGGTGCCTGCCTTCTAGACGGGCCGTCCAGGCTAGGGTGAGCCACTATTTCCTTCACCACCTGGAAAGGTGTAAATCGTTCGAGTCACCACACGTTTCGGCTGGGCTACTCCAAATATCACGCTCCAGTTCGCGGAAGAGGAAACACCTACAGAAATTTCAGCAAGACGCCAACAAAACCAGAGCTAAGATCAGGGTCGACGTGAGACAAGAGGGTCTCCGCAGCAGACTGACGAATATATACTTCTAATGAATCTGTACTTCTTCTTTCTATAGTTGTTCAAGATTTATTTAGCTGGCGGGCGGGGGGTGGAGGGGGGGTGGATTTCCTTTTAAAAACATTACATATTCAAACAGATCCACTTACTAAACCATTTCGACTGACCAAAGCAGAATCAACAGTCTGAGAAAATGAAAAAGGCTGTTTTTCTCATTCTCTCTTCAGGTAGTGCTTCACAGTTTGAAAAATCAGACAGCTTTCTGGGAAACAAATTGAAGGACTTCACAAATTAAAAGGGAAACGAGATAGCAAAGGCTCATGCTTGGTAGAGTACCACACCATACCTTATTTGGTTCTAGAATCGCAGCCGGTCAATAGTGCACACCCATGATGCCAAATAAGGGAAGGACCTGTGTTACTATGAAGTCTTTTTGTAACTTCCCACCTGAGAACACTTTCTACTTGGATGGGAGTAAGGCCAATTTATATTAATGTAATTGCCAATTGGTTCCAGTTCCAGGAGACTGCCTGGTGGGTTGCCCCCTAGACCACCCTATCCCTCCTTCTTGTAAAAAAAAAAAAAAAAAAAGAAGCAAAACAACAATGAAACCATGCCTGGCACACATAGGCTTTCAGTAAATGTTTGCTTTTTAAAAATCTAGGAAACCAAGACTTTGATAGAAATATTAATGAAAACAGGAACATAGAACAGAAAAACCAGCACAACCAACAGCCAGTTTCCTGTGTATCTGGCATTTCGATCAATTGATGGCATGCCAATGGAGAAGACTCACATCATTTTCCCCTCAGACCTATTTCTCTTCTCTTGCTCCGCTCTGTATTCCGGGGGCGCTGACCCCTGTAGGCTGGGTTTTCCAGGCTCCAGGATCAGTTGGCTTTCGCTGGAGGGTGAAAGGCAGGGAAATTCAGGGTATTTCCTCCCCTAATCTCTCTCCACAGTGTTGGGGTCAGCAGTTACATGTCCTTTCTGGCTTCAGCTGGAGCAAGACAGGTCTACTGTGGTTCCATTCCAGCTTGTACCTTGGCCTCTGGCTCTTAGTAACTCCCCACCCCCTTGCTTAATGGCTTTCTGCTGTGGCTAATCTTTTGCGTTACCTCAGTATCTTCTGTTTGCCTCTTTAGTTATCCCATCACCTGTGTAATCAAATTTCTGGATTAAATTCCTTTGGCTTACTCCCAGAGTGCTTGTATTTTCCCGAGTGGGCCTTGACTGATACATTTTCCCCAGTACCGAATGACACTTGCTGTGTCGATCGGTATGGGAGACTGATATGAAATCCAGGTGGCCTAGTAAATAAGCAATAGCCTGGTACACATCCCTAAGGCTGGTATAACTCGGAGCTGATAAGGCTCGCAGGTGTGAACAGAGCGTGAGACTCAGAAACTAGATGCCTGCATTCTGCTTCCACCATTTCCTCTGGCTTGCTTAAATGAACCAAACGCTGCTTTCAACCTTGAGACTGTATTCAATACTAGTGGCATGTGTAGCCATGTAGTAATATTTCTACTGTAGTTATATATCAAAGCAATATGAAGGATAATTTAGAAACATATACACGAACAAAAATAATTTTGGTAAGAAGGAGAAACACCAATCATAAAAACATCGCAGAGGAATGAATAGGGGAAGATTCCAGCGAACGAAGCCCCTCACGTGAGGAATCTGTATTCTTTTGACAGCACAGAGCCTGCTTGGGATCCCCTCTCTCTCTCTGCCCCTCCCCTGCTCTCTCTCTCTCTTCAAACAAACAAACAAACAAACAAACAAACAAACAAACATTTTAAAACAAACACCACACCTCTTGTATTTGTATATTATTAAAACCTCTAACTCACGAATTAAACTGTTGCCCATGACACAGCAAAGCCCTTTTACCACCTTCAGGAAGTGAGGGGACCCATCAAAGGAGCTCTCATTTTGAGCTTCCTCTCTTTTTAGGCACACTTCCTGTACTGATGGAATCACCAACTCTTTTGACCTTTCCATTCTTATTTAGAACATTATGTTGTTGATCCAGTTACTCTTAAGGTATCACAACAAGGGTTTCTCTTTCCATACGGCACCAGAAGTCTTGCTAAAAACCAGTAAGAAGTGTTTTGGATAGGGGCGCCTGGGTGGCGCAGTCGGTTAAGCGTCCGACTTCAGCCAGGTCACGATCTCGTGGTCCGTGAGTTCGAGCCCCGCGTCGGGCTCTGGGCTGATGGCTCAGAGCCTGGAGCCTGTTTCCGATTCTGTGTCTCCCTCTCTCTCTGCCCCTCCCCCGTTCATGCTCTGTCTCTCTCTGTCCCAAAAATAAATAAAAAACGTTTGGAAAAAAAAAAATTAAAAAAAAAAAAAGAAGTGTTTTGGATAAGCACCAGTGTGCGCCGACTGTGAGGTGGACAGGTTTTTAGGATTATACAGACCCACATAAGAAACTACATTTTTTCTACACTGGGAAACAGGGCCGAGAATGTGCGGACAGCCTGGCTGCCTTTTGCCCACAAGACACACGCCTGTGGCAGCAATGACGAAGGGGTCATGACCCCAAAGTGACCTGAGGCTGAGCCTCTCTGTGCTTCCTTGGAAGCCTCTAAGGATTGAATCAAGCACTTGTCTACTTGACCATTTTTGTTCCTCAGTTAAAAAAACAAAAAACAAAAAACAAAATTATGCCTGGCAGGAGGCCCTGTTGTACCTAAAAGACAAAATCTTTTCTCTTCAGAGGGGGAGACATCCACTTCCTCCTCCATTTTTCTTATTGTTAAATACTCAAACGGAAGTAGGTCAGTAGTGGGACATGTTGTACCCAAAAGACAGTCTTTTTTCCTTAAGAGAGGAATGTTATCAATCACATTATTAATCTATCAAATTTTTGGCTAAGGGATAAAAACTGGAATCTCACTGTTGAATTTGCATGGTAAAGATCTAGATCAGCATATCTTTATACAGTAATAAGCATTCAAATTTCCTTTTCTGAAACTTGCTTTTTTAAAAAATCCTTAGCTCATTTTTCTATTAGCTTGTCTTACTGATTTGCAGACTTTAATATTTGAATATTATTTATGTTTTAAGTATTTATGTATGTTGAATTTTTTTTTGAAATTAGCTCTGTTGATGTTTTGTTTTCTTTTTTGCTTTCACTTTACAGTTTCATGCCTTTCTTAGGAAAGCCTTCATTACCCCAAATTATAAAAAAAATCTTCCATTTTCTTTTACTCCTTTTATGTTTAAATGTATTTATGTCTTTAACTCATTTAAAACTTACTCACGTGCAAAGTTTGTTAAGGATCTAAATTTATTGTTTCAAATAGGCTGTCGTGCATTTTGTGTCTACTACTTTGTTTTTGAGGATTTGAAAGGCCACAATTACCATATGCAAAGTTCTCATGGTTCAGGAGTCTGTTTCTGGGCTCTGTCTGCTCCAGTCCTCTGATTTGTTGGCTGATCTGTTTCTTTTCCAACATCACACACATTTTATTGTCACTTTATCGGACAGCACATCTATTGAGACATCTTCCCTCCTCACCTCTTTTTACAAAATTATCTTGAGTGTTCTGGCCCATGAATCTCAGCATCAGCTTATTAATGAACTTGAATAATTCTCTTAAGATTTCTTTATGAATTACATTGAATTTGTAGTTTAATGGGAGAAACTGACATCGTATTATGCATCATTACTTATGCATGTCTTGTATGTCTGCCAGTGTTTTTTCTTCACAGAAGCCTTGCACAGTTCTTGTTAGAGTTATTCTTTAATATTTTATATGTTTTTTTGGTGGTGTTGTGAACATGTGCTTTTTCCCCAACGGACTCTCAAATTGGCTACTGCTGTCTATAGGAAAGAGACTAATTATTTCACCATATTCCTGTACCCAGTAACCATCCTGATATTTTTGATACCTTCTAATAGTTGTCCAATCATTTATCTTACATTTTCCAGGTAAGTGATTATATCATCTATTTAAAAAAGAAAATAAATGAGTGCCTGGGTGGCTCAGTTGGTTAAGCATCCAACTTCAGCTCAGGTCATGATCTCACTATTCATGGGTTTGAGCCCCACGTAAGGCTCTGTGCTGACAGTTTAGAGCCTGGAGCCTGCTTCGGATTCTGAGTCTCTCTCTCTCTGTCCCTCCCCTGCTCGTGTTCTTTCTCTCTCTTTCTCTCTCAAAAATAAATAAACATTAAAAAAAAATTTAAATAAAAAATAAAATAGGAATGAGAAGGCTTTGCCTTTTTCTTTCCAATATATAAGTCTCTTATTTTTACTTTTGAATGCATTTGGTAATGCAATCTGGAATAATATTGCAGACCAGCAGTGATAGTAGGATCCTTGTCCTCCTCTTCTCTTAATTAGAAATGTGTTTAGTATTTGACCATTAAATATAAGGTTCACTATAGATTTCTTGTATTTTATCAGGTTATAAAACTTCTTTTCCTCCATCTTCAACAACAGGAATGGTGGTGGATTGTGTGGTTCAGCACCTATCAATATGTTTATAAAGCTTTTTCTATTTTTTAGTATAATGAATTACATTAATCCTTTTTCTAATGTTGAAGCATGCTTAAAAGACTGGCATAACACTATCTAGCCAGGATGTTTTTAAAACATATTTCTGCTGTCTTTATTAAGCTGCCCCCACCACCCCATCCCACATACACACATTACACACACACACTGTTCTCTCTTTGTCTGGTTCTAGTATTGTATTTCTGTGATATTTATAGACCTTATTTGGTGATTTTCCATATTTTTCTATGAACTTGGAAATTTACACAGTGCTCCAAAAAACCCAGTTTTTGTTTGTTTTCTTTTTCAGTAATTCATGCTTTTACTCCTTCTGTTTAGTTATTTTAGTTTTGGTGGGTTTCTTTTTTTTTTTTTTTTTTTTTTTTTTTTTTTTTTTGAGATTCTTGAGTTGGGTGTTCTGTTTATTGGTTTCTGGTCTTTCTTATTTTTCAATATCGCACTTCAGTCCATTATATCTTTTTCTTTTTATTTCTTTAAAAATTTTTTTTTACATTTATTTATTTTTGAGAGACAGAAAGAGACAGAGCACAAAAGAGAGAGAGAGAGAGAGACGCAGAATCTGAAGTGGGCTCCAGGCTCCGAGCTGTCAGCACAGAGCCCGACAACCGGGCTCGAACCCACGAACCGTGAGATCATGACCTGAGCTGAAGTCAGACGCCCAACCGACTGAGCCACCCAGGCACCCCTCCTTTTATTTTTTATTTTTAATTATTTTAAATTTTATTTTAGAGAGAGAGAGAGAGAGAGAGAGAGAGAGTGCACGACTGAGGGAGAGGGGCAGAGAGAGGGAGATAGAATCCCAAGCAGGCTTCACACTCAGCACAGAGCACACATGGGGTGCAATCCCACAACCCTGGGATCGTGACCTGAACGGAAATCAAAACTTGGAAGCTCAGCCAACCGAGGCACCCAGGTGCCCCTATATTTTTTCCTTTTGATAACATACTGCTTTTGACTCTGAAGGGTGTTTGTGTGTGTGTGTACGTGCTTCCGTTGCGATTTCTAGATAGGTTGAAAATTCAGTTTATTTTCTTTCTTCATCACAAGAATTGTTGGAGGTGTTTTATTTTTTTCTTAGGTGGGTAGATTTCTTATGATTAATCTGTACTTTTATTAAAGCAATAGAAGAATATGGTCTGTATTACTTACTTCTTAGAATTTATTGAGCCTTATTCTGTGTTCTTGTACACAGTTAATTTTACTAACAACTCGGCAAATATTTGAATAGACTGTATTCAGTTTCTTGGGTCCAAATTGTATTCATCAATAATTTACTCCCAATTATATGGATGTGAAACCAGTATTATGTACATTGTCTAAACTCGATCAGTGATCTTTTTTCTGTAAAAGGCGGACAGTAAATATTTTAGGCTTTGTAGACCACAAGGTCTCTGTTGGAACTATCCAACTGTGTAAGAAAGCAGCAGTCAACAGTGTGCAAATGAAAGTCATGGCCAAATTTGGCCCTTGGACCTTAGTTTGCTGTTGCTTGCTCTTTATTCTTATTTAGTGTTTGTCTTTCGCCTGACAGTAAGTGAGAGAAGGTGTAATAATTTATAATTTAAAAAAGAATGCTTTGGTAATAAAAAATATATATTGGGCCAGTATCTTCAAGCCGTTTTTAGAAGCTGCTTTGCACCTGACTGTTGGGGGAGAATGTCCTGCCAGCTACATGTCCAGAGCATTTCTTCATGGACTTGAGAACAATGGTCAGCTTTTGAGATGACCAGAGGAGGACACGGAGACAAAAATGCAGGGAGACCGTGTTGAGATTTTTAGCCCACTACCTACTTTTTAAATACTCTCTCTAGTTTTACTCACACTGAAGGGTTTAGTAATTAAAATTGCATTTTCTGGTATTTTATGTGTGGCTTAACATTTATCTGAGTGTTGATGTGTTAGGATTTGTTTTTTTTTTCTCTCTCTCTACAGTGAGGCCCAAGAGCCAAACAAAGCACGGCTGCCTCCTAAAACCTCAGCAGCTGCCCAGCTGGATGAGCTTATGGCCCATCTGTGTGACATGCAAACCCAGGTGAGCATAGTTCCTGGGTGCATCTCTGTGGCCCTCAGCTCCGCATCCCCCTTCGGAACTCTCAGTTGTCATTCATTTTCCCAGACTAAATTTAATTCAACCGTGAATTTAACTTTGTGGGATGTATTATCTGGGCACAAAAGATAATATGATACAGGCTCTGATCTCAAGGAGTGTGGAATGTGCTTGGTAAAGGGAAGCATAAGCCTGTGCAACATTTATAGAATAAAACACAGATGGGTTATCAAAATATACACAGCAAACGTTAGGAAGGTAGAGAGGTCAAGGAGATTTTATCAGAGGTGGGGATGGGGTGTGGGATGGACTCTGAAGAATGGAAACAGTTTGGACACAGATGAGAGAGGAGGCCCTTCCAGTTGGGCATGAGCCTATGAGGGTGCAGGCATCTGAGGCTGGATGGAATGTGACAGGACCTTCAGAGACCCGCCTGAGTGGGACCACGGAGGGCAAGCTGCAGCAGAGCCAGGGAGATCAGAGTGTGGCTTTGAAAGTAGGGAGGAGGAGGAGTCCTGAGCCCCATACTCTGATAAAATCTGCCACCTCCTTCTGGCCTGTAGAGAGTGAGTGGTGAGCTCATGTGGCCTGGCAGGGGATGGGAATCAGAGAAGTGGACTTTAAGAATTTACTAAGGGAAGGGGCACCCGGGTGGCTCATTTGGTTAAGTGTCAGACTTCAGCTCAGGTCATGATCTTGCAGTTTGTGACTCTGAGGCCTGCAGTCGGGCTCTGTGCTGACAGCTCAGAGCTGAGCTTCTCAGATTCTGTCTTCCCTCTCTCTGCCCTCACATAAGCCTCTGTCTTCTTCTCAAAAGTAAATGAACATTAAAAAAAAATTAAGAATTTATTTAAGGAAATATCTAGAATTCTTTCTTTCTTTTTATTCTTATTTATTTTTGAAAGAGAGAGAGAGTGAGCGAGCATGAGCGGGAGGGAGGGGCAGAGAGAGAGGAGACAGAATCCCAAGAAGGCTCCGTGCTGTCAGCACAGCCCAATAGCGGGAGCTTTCGAACTCCTGAGCCGAGATCATGACTAGCAAAATCAAGGAGTTGGGCCACAACTCAGCATCCAGACACCCCTCATCTAGAATTCTTAAGGTAGAGAATCCAGCCCCTCTAAATTGGTTGGAAGCTTCGATATGCCCACATGAAGTGACTAAGACAAGGCAGTATATAAAAAGGGTGTGAGCTGGGGAGGTCAGGAACCTTATCTTTGTGGCTCACCTTTGGACTCCCAATGCCTGCACAGTTCCTGACACATTGCAGGAACAGATGAATGAACATCAGAAACAAATTTTCTTCCATGCCTGGGTACATTCAAAACTGGGTACATTCCTCAGTTCATTGTACCGCTGTAAGTGCTAGGACAAAAAAAAAAAAAAAAATCTACACTAGGAGTTTTAATTATGTTGTGTTTTCTAATTGATTTAGCATGTGTCATGGTTTATTTACATTTAAAAAAATATCTGCTCAACTGGGTGTTGTATGGAAACCAATTTGACAATAAATTTAATATTAAAAAAATTAAAAAATAAAAGAGATCTGCTCATTTCTTGAATGGGCCATACATTCACGTTGTACAAAAGTCAAAGGTGGAAAAGTTTGCAGTGAGCTATTTCCCTCTCAGCCATGTCCCCAGCCATCCAGTTCTGCCCGTTTCTTACATCCTCATTCGGAAGTGTTCTGGAATATATAAGCAAGTAGACGTGGGTGTGGATAGACATATATGCATGGATATGTATATACATATACAATTGTGGTTTTTTTACCTACTTAATAGGGATGGCCCTTTTGGGCCTTCTAGACATTAACCTTTTGAACACTAATCTCTTCAACATTAAGTAACATTCTATAATAGAGGAGGGAGGAAATCTGTCAGATGATAAGTTTCTTGAAGGGAAATGAGCATTTTGGATTAGTGAGATAATGTGAAGTTATTCCTGGCAGTAAAAATAGGATACGAAGGCAGACAGTAACAGATCGTATATATTCAGGAGACTGCAGGGAGCCTGGCTGGCCTTAGACAATGGAGGCTTTTAGTGACTAATGAAAGATGAGATTGGAAAGGTAAAGTGAGGGCAGCGGATGGGAGGCTTTGAAGGTCTGTCTAGTGCATGCAAATCTGATGCCATGGAGGCCGTAGGAAGAGCACCTGTTTCCTGATCAGGAAGTATTAGGTGATGGTGGTAGTAGCTCGGTCGGAAAGGAGTAGAGAGAGACAGAATCAGGACACGGAGTGATGAAGGACGAGCTGGGCATCTTTTTTTGTAATTTGAGGCTTTTCCTTTGAATGGATTATAATAACTACCTTGGGGTTTTGCTTAAGTAAATCCAATCCATCAGCAAGTCTCATATGACAGCTTCTCACCACCTTCTCCCCTAACACGGGACCAAGTCATTCTTTCTGGTTTGAACTGTTAACGATAATCTCCTTCCTAGCTGGTGCCTCTCCACTCTTGCTTGTCTACACTTAATCCCTCCCTCAGCTACCATGGGGATCCTGTAGATCAGATTCTTTCACTCTCATGCTTGAACTCCTCCAGAGGCTCCATCACCCTTGGGATAAAACCTGAGTTTACCATGAGGGCCCAACGTGATCTTCGCCTCTCTGTCCATTGTCTTCTGCTGCCACACTTACTCTTACTCCCTCTACTCCAGCTCCCCTGACCTTCTGACTTTTCCCCTAACTTTTTTCCTCCTCTGGGCCTTCCTTCCTTCTGGAATGCTTTTCCCATGAATAGCAATATTTCTGGGCCCTTCCGTACATCATGAAATACCTGTGCAAATGTTACCTTCCTTAGACAGTCTTCTCTGATCACCTTCATCTACATCAATTCTCTCTCACCGCCCCACCCTCTGTTACTTCTGTGTGGGTGTAGAACTTAGGTCTTATCCCTACCTGATGTTACATCATATACTTATTTCATTGTTTATCGTCTATCACCTAGAGAATATAAACTCCATGTGGGCAGAGTCTAGGTCGCCTTGGGCATTGCTCTATGCCAAGAGCCTGGGGCTGTGACCAGCACAAACTAGGTGCTCAAAAAACATTGGAGAACAAATGGGTAAAAAGAAGATATGATTAATTGTTGACCTATGGTCATTGTAGGAGTGAGGAAAAGTGTCATCTTCGTACACTCGATTTCCCACGGTCAGAAAAGATTTACACATGAAGGATGATTACTCCTATTTCATCTGGCCTGAGGAGTTTAGGATAAAAGGGAGATGAAAGCATTTTTATTGGTGTTACAATGTTGACTCTTCCAGTGCCTTGGAGGGAGGTTAGGTACGGAAGAAAGGATCCGTCAGCAGAGGTGAGCTTACAGGTCATGCAGAAGATGCCAAGGAAGGGAAATGTACATGACACTGATTCTTTTCGTGGTTCTCTCCTGGGTGCCAGGTTGCAGCGAAAGCAGATGCCAGCAAGAAGCACTTAGCAAACAAGCAGGATCAGAAAGCCTCCCTGGACTCAATGCTGGGGGGTTTGGAGCAGGACCTGCAGGACCTTGGAATTGCCACAGTGCCCAAGGGCCACTGTGCTTCCTGTCAGAAGCCGATTGCTGGCAAGGTGGGATGGGCCAAGAAGTTGGTCCTACAGCCATCTGTCTGTGTGTGTCTGTGTCTGCCTCACCAAAGATTGCTCTATGGCCTTCTATTCTACGACATTTTAGTAACAGTTAATAACTACCCATCCCTTACAGTGCTCCGGGCACTGAGTTAAGCACTTTGCAAGTATTTCCTCATTTACCGGTCACATCAGCCCTTCAAGGGACACTCTATTATTGTTCCTTTGGAAAGATGAGGGAAACAAGGGCTCTGGGATGTTAACTGGCATGTATGTCCAAGGTCTAGAAAGAAGAGGAGGTAAGATTTGAAGCCCAGGAGAGCCTCCCTGCCGTGTGTGACTCTGAACCACTGTTCTGTCCTGCCTGTCCTGGGAGGGAGTCTCCCCCTGCTCCCTCTGTGCCAACTTCCCGCTCAAGTTGATTGATTATGATTCCCGCTGACTCAGCTCCAAATCGTGGCCGCAGCCTCCTGCTGTGTCATCCTTCACCAAAACCCACAGCAAAGGGCTTTGGTGTGGGGCGTGAGATGAGGTGTTCAGACCAGAGGAACAAAAACCCTCATCTGGCCTTTTCCTCTTCCAGGGATCCCTTCCAGGCCACGGTAGTCATCCCTGTCTGTCACTGCTGTGCTCGATTTTGGTTCCCCCACCCTCCGGAGCTGTGTAGCGGCAACCAACAGCTAACAGACTTTTATCAGCAAGATTGGTCAGGAAACTGGGCACCCTCTGGCTCTCCATAATGCAGGGGCAACAGACCCCGTAGGTGGGACCTGGGTCTAGGCCTCTGTGTTGCGTAACCCCAGGGGGGCACCGTTTACAGGAAATACCGTGCGCCAAGTGCTGTTCAGAGCTGTGCAACCTAGGGCACCCTAGGGCACCTGGCTGCAGTCTCACGGTGGCCCACCTTCATTTCCTCCCCAGGCGATCCATGCTCTGGGGCAAGCGTGGCACCCGGAGCACTTCGTCTGCGCTCACTGCAAAGAGGAGATTGGCTGCAGCCCCTTCTTCGAGCGCAGTGGCTTGGCCTACTGCCCCAAGGACTACCACCACCTTTTCTCCCCGCGCTGTGCTTACTGCGCCGCTCCCATCCTGGACGTGAGTCATCCTCCTTCTCCTGCCGGGGCTCGTGGGTGATAGAGTTGCAGCCCTCTGACGTCTGTGTGTGCTCCTTTTCCAGAAAGTGCTGACGGCAATGAACCAGACCTGGCATCCGGAGCACTTCTTCTGCTCGCACTGCGGAGAGGTGTTCGGGGCGGAAGGTATTGCTCTTCCTTGGTCGGTTGTGGTCGTCGTGGTTCCGGCCGCTGGCAGCAAGCGCCTGTTTCAGTACTCTATGCCGTCCTTCCCTGCCTTTCCCCAGCATTTATAAATTCTGTTTGAATTGGTTTAAAAAAAATTTTTTTTTTAATTTTTTTTTTCAACGTTTTTTATTTATTTTTGGGACAGAGAGAGACAGAGCGTGAACGGGGGAGGGGCAGAGAGAGAGTGAGACACAGAATCGGAAACAGGCTCCAGGTTCCGAGCCATCAGCCCAGAGCCTGACGCGGGGCTCGAACTCACAGACCGCAAGATCGTGACCTGGCTGAAGTCGGACGCTTAACCGACTGCGCCACCCAGGCGCCCCTAAAAAATTTTTTTTAATGTTTGTTTATTTCGGAGAGAGACACAGAGTGTGAGCGGGGGAGGGGCAGAGAGAGAGAGACACTGAATCGGAAGCAGGCTCCAGGTTCCGAGCTGTCAGCACAGAGCCCCAGGCGGGGCTCGAACTCAGCCTGAGATCCTGACAAGAGCTGAAGTGGGGCGCTTAACAGACTGAGCCACCCAGGCGCCACTAAATTGGTTTTTTAAATCAAAGAAATACTAATGCAAAACCTCAAATATCGGAGCGCCTGCGTGGCTTAGTTAAGTATCTGACTTCAGCTTAGGTCATGATCTCATGGTTGGTGAGTTCCAGTCCCACACATCAGGTGAGCTCGAGCACCCCTTTGGGTGAGCCCCGCTTCTCTCTCTCTCTTTCTCTCTAGCTCTCTCTCCACCCCCTGCCTCTGCCCATCCTGGGATTTTCTCTGCCCCTTGCTCACCTGCGCCCCACACCCCACTCGAAAAAAAAAAAGGCTCAAATATTACATTAAGGATAATCCTGAAAAAGATCAATCCCTCGCTTTTCCTTTCTCCACCCCCAGATCCAGTTATCGTCTCCAAATGTTTTCAGCTTTTTTTCTTCTGTTTTGTACTTGTGTATTTTAAGGAATATACTTCTATTACCATACATTGATTTTTTTTTTTCCTTAATTTTAACCATTACGTATTAAGTTTCTACCGGGGAAGATGAGAATTTACTATCCCACCTTACCCTCAACACACTTCCCCTCCCCCATTCTCTCAATGTAAAATCAGGTCATAATTACAGGTCAGACCAGTATTCAGTGTGCACATATTGACAAGCATGGAAATATTGTTCATTGTTAAGCCTTGTAGCAAACTATGGTCAGAGCAGAGCACAGATTTTAAAACTGCTGTTTTTATATTTTAATGTTTATTTTTGAGAGAGAGCGAGCGCGCGCGCAGGCGGGGGAGGGGCGGAGAGAGGAGACAGAATCCGAAAAAGGCTCCAGCCTCTGAGCTGTCGGTGCGAGCTAGATGTGCGGCTCAAACTCACAAACTGAGATCATGACCTGAGCTGAAGTCAGCTGCTTAACCCACTGAGCCACCCAGGTGCCACGGAGCAGAGCACAGATTTTAGTGTCAGACTGCCCAAGTTCGAATCTGGGCTGCGGTATTTATTAGCTATATGATATCATTCAAGTCATTTAACACTCTGTATCTCGTTTTCTTCATCATGGGCCCAGTACTAATTACCTCACAGGGTAATTATGAGGACTTTGAGATGCAGTGGCAGTTTTGTGTTTAGAACAGTGCCCACCACTTGGAGACACAGTAAAAATTAGTTTTACTATCATGGTATCCTTTTCATATAAATTAGTTTTCTCCCTGAAGTTAATATTTAGAGTTCTTTTTCACTGGCTCAATTTCCATTGTACCTAGCTCTAATTTATCTGACAGAGTCGTGGAATCATTCTCAAAATGGTCAGCCACATCTGGTAGTCAGTCAGTTCCACTCATTTTGCTTTGGGGACGTCTGCCCTCCCACCGCAGCCTGAAATGCTTCCTCTTCAGGCCTGCTGTGAAGCACTTATTCTGGGTCATTATCCTGGGAATTTCTTTTACTCCTTTACTACCTTTTTTGTTGGATCCTCTGTTTCCTGGATCCCCGGTCTTTTACTGCCTTTACGTTGGTGGAACAGCTCCTAGGAAAGGAGGAGTAAGAGGTAAAACTCTTGAGACCTTGAATATCTGAAAATACTGTTATTCTGTGGTCTACCTTGAGTTGCCTGGACATAGAATTCTAGGTGAAAGGATTTCCCCCTCGAATTCTCAACACACTGCTTCCCTGTCTTCCAGCTTCCATGGTTGAGATGTCTTTATTAAGCTTCTGTTCTTATTCCTGATACTTACTGTGTGATCTGTTTTTCTCTCTTTGCAAGTTTTCTTTTTCTCCTTTCTTCTGAATTATCTTGATTTTTTTTCCCTGACTTCTTCTTTTTATGTTTGTTTTGAACTAGTATGACTCACACATGGAATCAGAAGGTTTCTTTCTTTTGTTTGTGTTTTTTTTCCTGTCTTTTTAGAATTACCTCAGTGGGAAAACAATGCAGCTGTCTCCTAAATAAAAATTTGGGCAGTCCCATGTCATTTCCAATGACTCTTAATGAACAGTTATTTTTTT